AGGAACAATTGGAGACCGTGTTGCAAAAAGTCGATGATGGAATTCTAATAGCAGTTCATGCCGAAGAAGCTCTTGACATTCCAATTAAAGCCAATGAAGAGGAACCTAAATGTTATGAGTCATTTCTCAGGACAAGACCCGCAGAAATGGAAATTAAGGCTGTGAGGACAATTGCGGAATTGGCAGTGAAACACAAGAAGTAAGGAGATCAGGGCAAAGTAAAAAATCGATTAAATATTTTTTTTTTAAATTATCCTTAGGAAACATTTTCACCTCCTGAATCTAAGTGCCAACGAAGTCCTGCCCATCATTCGGGATTGCAAGGCCAAGGGTGCCAAGCTGACTGCCGAAACTTGTCCCCATTATCTCAGTTTAGCAGCTGAAGATGTTGAAGACTGTCGCACAGAATTTAAAACCCATCCGCCGATTAGAGCCCGCTCCAATCAGGCTGCCCTGTGGGATGGTATAAAGTCGGGTGTGATAGATATCATTGCCTCAGATCATTCTCCTGCCACTCCGGGACCAAAATGCCTCACCTATGGTAGGACACGTGGTAATTTTCTAAATGCTTGGCCTGGGATCTCGTCACTGCAATTGGGTAAGTTTAAAGAATATTGGATATATTATTTTCATTAAGAACATTTTATTTGAAGGTCTTTCGGTAATGTGGACCCATTGTGAAAAACATGGCCTCGGGATGCAACATCTCTACAAGACAATGTGTGAAAATCCCGCTATTCTGTGTGGCCTGGAAAATTCTAAGGGTAAAATTATTGAGGGTTATGATGCTGACTTTTGTATTTGGGATCCGGATGCAGAATTTCATGTCGATGCGGATATGCTGTTTTCGACCAATAAGGTGGGTTTTTTTCGGAAAAAAATCCTAAAAAATGTCTTCAGTAGTAACTCAGATCTGTGTAATTTTTTTCTAACAGAAATTTAAAAAAAATGGGCCCTCAGTAAAACGTAATTTTTTAAAAATTTTTAAAAAAAATCGATACACTCTGAAAATATAGACCCTTGAAAAAATATTTTTTAAAAATCCACGCCTTCGATACACCCTGAAAATATAGTCCCTTGAAAAAATATTTTTTAAAAATCCACGCCTTCGATACACTCTGAAAATATAGACCCTTGAAAAAATATTTTTTAAAAATCCACGCCTTCGATACACTCTGAAAATATAGACCCTTGAAAAAATATGTTTTAAAAATCCACGCCTTCGATACACCCTGAAAATATAGACCCTTGAAAAAATATTTTTTAAAAATCCACGCCTTCGATACACCCTGAAAATATAGTCCCTTGAAAAAATATTTTTTAAAAATCCACGCCTTCGATACACTCTGAAAATATAGACCCTTGAAAAAATATTTTTTAAAAATCCACGCCTTCGATACACTCTGAAAATATAGACCCTTGAAAAAATATTTTTTAAAAATCCACGCCTTTGATACACCCTGAAAATATAGCCCCTTGAAAAAAATATTTTATTTAAAAAATCCACGCCTTCGATACACCCTGAAAATATTTCCCCTTGAAAAAAATATTTTATTTAAAAAATCAACGCCTTTGATACACCCTGAAAATATAGACCCTTGAAAAAATATTTTTTAAAAATCCACGCCTTCGATACACCCTGAAAATATAGACCCTTGAAAAAACATTTTTTTAAAAATCCACGCCTTCTATACACCCTGAAAATATAGACCCTTGAAAAAACATTTTTTTTAAAAATCCACGCCTTCGATACACCCTGAAAATATAGACCATTGAAAAAAATATTTTTTTAAAAAATCCACGCCTTCGATACACCCTGAAAATATAGACCCTTGAAAAAATATTTTTTAAAAATCCACGCCTTCGATACACCCTGAAAATATAGACCCTTTAAAAAATATTTTCTAAAAATCCACGCCTTCGATACACCCTGAAAGTATAGACCCTTGAAAAAATATTTTTTTTAAAAATCCACGCCTTCAATACATCCTGAAAATATAGACCCTTGAAAAAAATATTTTTAAAAAATCCACCCCTTCGATACACCCAGAAAATATAGACCCTTGAAAAAGTATTTTTTAAAAAATCCGCGCATTGGAGAGACCTTTGAAAAAATATTCTTTAAAGTTTTTTTCTAAATTATTTTTTTCAGGCCACACCTTATATGAATCAACGTCTACGCGGTATGGTCCATGCTACAGTTGTACGCGGCCTGCATGTTTATCAGCAACATGAGGGATTTGGTCAACCTCTGGGAAGAATTGTTCTCCGAAAAAATGTCAAGAAAGTTGTGAAATTTCAATAAAGAAGAAAAATTAAAAAATAATATTTTTAAATCAAGGTGCTGAAAAATATTTGTAAATATTTTTGTAAAATAAAACTCCTTTCAAATTTTGTTTAAAAAATGTTTAGTTTTATTCTTCTACTAACCACTGTGCTTGGGTGCGTATACTTAGCAAACATTTATCATACGTTGTATGGTATGTGAGGTTGTATGTGTTATTTTCTATTTTGATTTTTTTTTTTTTTTTGCTATGACAATCAGTGAACCGTCTCCCGACTGGGGGATAAGTGTAACAACAGCACACATGTTGTGTTCGAACATGTCAACCCAAGAGATTCCTCTTAAATGACGTGTGACAAAGACACTCGATATGTATCCCCCACCAATTCAAGTGGTCTTGTAACAAGTCCACGTGTAACAAGTGGCAGTGGGAAACACGTGGTCTAAATTGGAGAGGAGATAGACAATTAGAGAATTAGATGGGCTAAATAATAAATATATGAGATTTTTTTAACAGTCAGGTTTCCTAAAAAATTTTTTTTTTAGTCCATGCCTTTTATAGATCCTTGAAAAAATATTCTTTAAAAAATCCACGCCTTGGATGATAATCCTTGAAAAAATATTCTTTAAAAAATCCACGCCTTGGATGATAATCCTTGAAAAAATATTCTTTAAAAAATCCACGCCTTGGATGATAATCCTTGAAAAATATTCTTTAAAAAATCCACGCCTTGGATGATGATCCTTGAAAAAATATTCTTTAAAAAATCCACGCCTTGGATGATGATCCTTGAAAAAATATTCTTTAAAAAATCCACGCCTTGGATGATGATCCTTGAAAAAATATTCTTTAAAAAATCCACCCCTTGGATGATGATCCTTGAAAAATATTCTTTAAAAAATCCACGCCTTGGATGATGATCCTTGAAAAAATATTCTTTAAAAAATCCACGCCATGGATGATGATCCTTGAAAAAATATTCTTTAAAAAATCCACGGCGTGGATGATGATCCTTGAAAAAATATTCTTTAAAAAATCCACGCCTTGGATGATGATCCTTGAAAAAATATTTTTTAAAAAATCCACGCCTTGGATGATGATCCTTGAAAAAATATTTTTTAAAAAATCCACGCCTTGGATGATGATCCTTGAAAAAATATTTTTTAAAAAATCCACGCCTTGGATGATGATCCTTGAAAAAATATTCTTTAAAAAATCCACGCCTTTCACCATAATAATCCATAAAAGCCCAACACCCTTGGGCGTATTATTCATATCATGAATTAATATTAAGTATACGCATGGTGAGTTAATAAAGGCATTTCTCTCATCCTTCTACACCTTCTTTAATAGACAACTGTAGCCTAGTTCGGAGTCACGTACATTCAACATGACTATCCACACACACACACACACATCTCGTTTTTTTTCTTCTCCTCGGATTATCACAAATATTTGTTTAGCAGGTGCTACGAAATGACTGACGAAGACGACAACAACGGTGAGGAAGAAGAAGATGATGATGATAAAACAACAAAACGTAATGGTTCGAAGAAATAAAATAAAATTAAAGACCACAAAACAAACTACAAAATGTAAGACACAAGCCACACACGCATGAGAACAAACAAACCAACACTCATGTGTACACACGCACACACACACACATTCACTCAATGTAAATATTTCAAAAAGTGGTTCATCCACAATAACAAAAACTTGCTAAAATAACCAAAGAATTCCCTCTCTTAGCCAAAACCGAAAAAAAATAAACAAGGTAACAAACATGTGAACAAGAGTGGAAAGAGAGGAGCATGAGAGAAAGGGAGGGAGAGCTTGAAAAGAAATTTTGTTGGTAACACAATTATTTGCGTTACTCATTTGTCAGCAATACTACGTAATAAGCTTAAAAGTCAACGAATTAAAAGAAATGTTTGCTTTGGTTGGTTGTGGGCGTAAGGGGCGTGAGGAGGAGGGAACTTGGGGGGGGCAACAATAGCTGGCCGACTAAGTGGCTGACCATTCTACATACACAAGCACACACACCATGTGTGTGTATGTAAATGACCCAGTATAAACAGCAGAATAACAAAAATCAAATATAAATATTGATAAATGAGAAAGTATCGACACATTCGCTCTCCTGCAGTCAAGAAAATGGTCTTCAATAATAATTCGTAGGAACTGAGGTCGGATTTTTTTTCTATAGAAAAAAATCCAACCATCATCCAAAGCGTGTTTTTTAAGAATATTTTTTTAAGTAGCAACACAAGGCGTGGATTTTTAAAGAATATTTTTCAAGGCGTGGATTTTTTAAAAAATATTTTTCAAGGCGTGGATTTTTTTAAAAATATTTTTCAAGGCGTGGATTTTTTAAAAAATATTTTTCAAGGCGTGGATTTTTTAAAAAATATTTTTCAAGGCGTGGATTTTTTAAAAAATATTTTTCAAGGCGTGGATTTTTTAAAAAATATTTTTCAAGGCGTGGATTTTTTAAAAAATATTTTTCAAGGCGTGGATTTTTTAAAGAATATTTTTCAAGGCGTGGATTTTTTAAAAAATATTTTTCAAGGCGTGGATTTTTTAAAAAATATTTTTCAAGGCGTGGATTTTATAAAAAATATTTTTCAAGGCGTGGATTTTTTAAAAAATATTTTTCAAGGCGTGGATTTTTTAAAAAATATTTTTCAAGGCGTGGATTTTTTAAAAAATATTTTTCAAGGCGTGGATTTTTTAAAAAATATTTTTCAAGGCGTGGATTTTATAAAAAATATTTTTCAAGGCGTGGATTTTTTAAAAAATATTTTTCAAGGCGTGGATTTTTTAAAAAATATTTTTCAAGGCGTGGATTTTTTAAAAAATATTTTTCAAGGCGTGGATTTTTTAAAAAATATTTTTCAAGGCGTGGATTTTATAAAAAATATTTTTCAAGGCGTGGATTTTTTAAAGATTATTTTTTCAAGGATCATCATCCAAGGCGTGGATTTTTTAAAGAATATTTTTCAAGGATCATCATCCAAGGCGTGGTTTTTTAAGAATATTTTTCAAGGATCATCATCAAAGGCGTGGATTTTTTAAAGAATATTTTTCAAGGCGTGGATTTTTTAAAAAATATTTTTAAAGGCGTGGATTTTTTAAAAAATATTTTTCAAGGCGTGGATTTTTTAAAAAATATTTTTCAAGGCGTGGATTTTTTAAAAAATATTTTTCAAGGCGTGGATTTTTTAAAAAATATTTTTCAAGGCGTGGATTTTTTAAAAAATATTTTTCAAGGCGTGGATTTTTTAAAAAATATTTTTCAAGGCGTGGATTTTATAAAAAATATTTTTCAAGGCGTGGATTTTTTAAAGATTATTTTTTCAAGGATCATCATCCAAGGCGTGGATTTTTTAAAGAATATTTTTCAAGGATCATCATCCAAGGCGTGGTTTTTTAAGAATATTTTTCAAGGATCATCATCAAAGGCGTGGATTTTTTAAAAAATATTTTTCATATTTTTTAAAAAATATTTTTCAAGGCGTGGATTTTTTAAAAAATATTTTTCAAGGCGTGGATTTTTTAAAAAATATTTTTCAAGGCGTGGATTTTTTAAAAAATATTTTTCAAGGCGTGGATTTTATAAAAAATATTTTTCAAGGCGTGGATTTTATAAAAAATATTTTTCAAGGATCATCATCCAAGGCGTGGATTTTTTAAAGAATATTTTTCAAGGATCATCATCCAAGGCGTGGTTTTTTAAGAATATTTTTCAAGGATCATCATCCAAGGCGTGGATTTTTTAAAGAATATTTTTCAAGGATCATCATCCAAGGCGTGGATTTTTTAAAGAATATTTTTCAAGGATCATCATCCAAGGCGTGGATTTTTTAAAGAATATTTTTTCAAGGATCATCATCCAAGGCGTGGATTTTTTAAAATTCTGCTAGGAGATTTTAGTGCAAAAATCGGAAGGGAAAATATATTTGGTCCCACCGTCGGAAGATTCAGCCTCCATGATATACACAAGGAAACTTGGATTTCTCCTGATCGAACAACGAGAAATCAAATTGATCATGTTGTGATAGACGGAAGGTATTCATCCAGTGTTTTAGACGTCCGATCGATCCGAGGAGCGAATATCGATTCGCACCCATTTTAATGTAGCAGCAAAGGTGCCATCTAATTTAACACGGAAATTTGACGTCGAAAAGCTGCAAACACAACAGATAGCAGAAGCCTACTCCGCTCAACTTACCCAACTGCTGGACGAAACGCTGAATTGAAAAACGCAGTATATAGGATAGCAACACGTAATACGAGAGAGAATTATCTGGAGAAAGGAGGGAGGAGAAACGTATTTTCAGAAGAAAGAAGAAAAAAGAAGTTCGAAAATTCTGCCAACGGGTAAAATACCAAACCGAAGGCTTTTGTGCAGGCACATCCCCCTGTAGAAATGAAGAGGGAAGCCTGGTGACAGATGCAGACAGCATGCTGAGGATCTGGAAGGAACAGTTTGAAAAACTTCTGGTATCAAATAGTAGTGGTGAAGAGGATACCCCAGAACCAATAATAATAAATGACATTATTGGACCATACCAATGCGGCTTCAGGCCTGGCAAATCCACCATTGACAAGATTTTCACTCTGCGCCAAATCCTGGAAAAAACCCACGAAAAACACATTGACATATTCCATCTATTCGTCGACTATAAAGCCGCATTCGACAGCCCTATCTGTTCAGAGGTGTATAAAGCCATGTCTGCGTTTGGCATTCCTGCAAAATTAATAAGGCTATGCGGGATAACAATAACTGGCACATGATCATGAGTTAAAGTTGGAAAGGACCTCTCGGAGCCCTTTAATACCGAACGAGGATTTTTAACATCCTGCTGGAAAAGGTCATACGGTAGGCAAAAGTGAACAGAAATGACACTCTGCACACCAAACAACAGTAAACGGCGAGAAGACCAAGCTAATGATATCAACGCGCAAGACGTCCAGTAGGCTCGGACCAACTGTGGAACTTGAGAACTACAGCTTC